GCTCTCTTCCAGCTATTAGTCTTGACTGTCTCGTTCCTCATTTGCCTCAGAAACACCTCTGCAGGTTTTCTGTGCTGCATCTTGTAATGATGGTGCCTCATTGTTGAAGTGATCCATCCTATTTTGGATGAAGAAATGGGCTCTTGCCGGCTGAGGATTGCTTAGAAAATACTAATAGTGGAGTGAGGGCCACAGTGGCTTCTTTTTAGTAGCAATGCAGAAATATTTTGCAAAAATATACTGATTTATTCGCTCCATTGGGTGCTCTCTCCAAATGCTGTGACTGCAAAGGAGCCCAACAAATGCCCACGGCCAGGTCTGCATAGCCGCAGATTGCTCTCTGTTAGCCCAGGGCTCTTGGCATGTCTAAGGGAAAAACAGTATCTCATGGACATGTCTTTCTTCAGCCTCTAAGTCAGATCCTCTTTCACATTAAACAACGTGCCTTCTGGTACCATGACCCCAACCTAGTGTCATTGGAAAGACTATTTTTACTTATGCCAGCAGTGTGATGAGGCACTGTAGCGTACGGCAAGCCTGTCAGTAGATACTGAAAACATTAAAACTCACTTTTCCTGCCTTCCCTGCTCCTCTCCTTCACAATCTCTCTATTTTGCTGCTACTTTGGTTCAAAAAACAGTGTTTTTCATGACCTATGAGAAAATTCACATGTCCAAGACTGCCTGGAGCGGTGTTGGTGAACACCACCCCTGCTCCATATACCAGCACTTCTTAGCATTCCCTCTGTGGCAGAATACCTGAAGACAAAGCCCTGTAGCTGCCTATGGCAGGGTAACATAGGGAGATTTCCAATTCCCTTAAAAAAAAAAAAAAAAGGCTAGTTCAGCCCACAAACAATTTTGTTTTACACAAAGAGTGGTCCAAAATGTGGTTCAAGTTACAGACACCGCGGTAGCGCACAAGCCAGAGAGCTGAAAGTCTTTCTTGCTTAATTTCATCACTTATGTGGTCAAGATGAAGAAACGGTCTAATTTCGCTAATCTTGTGGTAAACGGCATTTGCTATGACAAAGGTGTGTGGCAAAGAGTCTGCAGCTGGAACTCAGTTAATAATTCAGGTGGTGGCTCAGCCCTGGCAAACCCTGGATGACTCTCACGTGTCTATCAGCTCCGGAGATCTAACAGGGGGAAGAAGTAACACATATTT